TAAAATAAAAATAAAATTTCAAAATAAAGCCAAAAGGAATGAATAAAGCTAGTGACTAGCAGTGAACCAGGGCTTCACCTTGGCTTAGCCCTCCCATGAGCCTCTGGGAGCTGTGACTTCCTCCTCTGTGAAAAGGGGGCAGTGACAAGCGGGCAGATGGCACCAAGGGTCAGCAATGGGCAGGCTGTGCTGTGGAACAGAGGGTGCAGGTGGAGTGGGGCGGGTGAGGGCGGGGCAGGGTAGCAGAGACCTCCTGGGAATTGGCATTTGGGCTGAAAGGTGAAACAGCTGAGCTGAGGGGGGGGGGCTGGGGACTTAACTCCCTGCCCACCTTCCTGCCTGCCTGGGAACAGCTGCAGGAAGGCTTCCTGGTAGAGGCAGTTTCTTAACCACTGTGAGAATTGAAGGCTAAGGGGCCTGTGGGCAGGGGTTGAAGGAATTTCTGCAGAGAATGCGGCTGTGTAACCTGTGGTCCTAACCCTGCACCTGCTGCGTAGCACGGGCCCCTGCTGCCTGACCAGAAGGCCGTGGCCTCATCACGAGGAGTCCTGGTTGTCTCTGCCCTTCTAGGAAAGCTGAGTGCCAGTGACCTTGAAATCTTATTTACCTTCAAGAAGAGAAGTCCCATGCACTCTGTAGCCAGGGAACCAAGTACACAGGAATCAAGAAATGGAGTCGAAGAAACTCGAAATATGGTTACGTAGGAGCCTCAGTCCTAGAACTCCATATTCATGGTCCTGTAAGGCCTCACGGGAAAAAGGACCACAGGAGCCCTAATTTACAGGAAACCATCACTGGCTCAGACAGACCATGCAGGTGAGTAACTGTCCACTTTCCCAGCACTCCCTCCTCAGGAGGAGACAAAAGAACCACATCACAGGAAGGGAGAAGAGCTGGGGTCTGACTGCTGCCCAGGCTCCTCCCAGAGTGTAAAGTGAATCAGCATGGGGAACAGGTGGGAAGCTGGTACATGATGAAGGTTCACGGAGCTTTGCATGGGGAACACAGTAGGTGCTTAATAAAGGATGGGTGCATAGGTGGGTGGACAGGGAGTGGTGGATGGATAGACATGTGGATAGATGGGTGGGTGGGTGGATGGATGGATGGATGGATGGATGGATGGATGGATGGATGGATAGGTAGATGGATGGATAGGTAGATGGATGGATAGGTAGATGGATGGATAGGAGGATGGATGGATAGGTAGATGGATGGATAGGTAGATGGATGGATAGGAGGATGGATGGATAGGTAGATGAATGGATAGGAGGATGGATGGATAGGAGGATGGATGGATATGTAAATGGATGGATATGTAGATGGATGGATAGGTAAATGGATGGATAGGTAGATGGATGGATAGGTAGATGGATGGATAGGAGGATGGATGGATATGTAAATGGATGGATATGTAGATGGATGGATATGTAGATGGATGGATATGTAGATGGATGGATAGGTAGATGAATAGTGGAAAGAGGAGGAGGTGAGAGGAGGGATGAGAAAATGGCTGAAAAGATGGCCCATTGGTTAAGAGAACTTCTGCTCTTGCAGTGGGCTGGAGTTCAGTTCCCAATATCCACACTGGGTGGCTCACAACCACCTAAAGTTCCAAGGACTCCAGTGCCTTCTTCTGGCCTCCTTGGGCACCTGCACATGCATGGTGTACAAAGACACACACACACACACACACACACACACACACACACACACACTAAATCTTAAGAAAATGACTGAGTGAGAGGGATAGTCGGGAGGACCTTTAAGGCAGAGACTAGATGGCTGATGGGCAAACAGGTGTATGGGTGAGGGGAAGAGTGGCCCTGTGGGGGAACGAACGGGAGCCAGCAGGGCTGAGTAAAGTGACGAATCATTGAGTCCCTGGGGAATGGCGAATGGACGCAGGAATGAATGCCAAGTGAGTGAGCTAGGGCCTGAGTAAATGACTAACCTAGAAGTACAAACCCAGCCGCCAGGAGAAAGCAAGAAGATCAAGCAATCGGCCAGGATCCTGCACAGTGAGCTTTGAGCCTCTGGCAGGAAGTGCCGCCTCCCTGCTTCCTGGAGAGTTGTGTGTCTTTAGAATGAAGCCTGGAGGCGGGAGTGTGCCCCACCTCTGCACCCCTGGCAACATTCCTCAGCCCCATGGCCCTGCCACTGGGGTGAGTATCGGCCAGGCCGGCTGGGTCACAGTGGTGACTCAGACCTGTGGGCCCCTGTACCTGGCAGCCTGCCAGCACCTCCCTAGGCAGCTTGAGATCTGGACAAGCCTCTTCCTACCATGGATTCCTGTGTCCTCACCAGTCGGCCCCCGGGACCATATTCTAGGCTCAGAATCTGCTCCTCCATACCTCTGTGCCCCCAAGACAGCACATTACCCTAGGACAGCACTATTCCACCCAGGGCAGGCTAGTGGTGCCTCATCCTGGGGGTGACCTTCAGCTTTGCTACTAAGCTGTGCAACTTCTGGGAGATGCCTTAACCTCTCTGAGTCACAGCTTCCTCATTTACATTAAAACATCGCATGTCCTGAGAGTTGGTGTAAGGACTCAGAGAAACCAAGGACCGGCAAGCACCTTAACTGTCCTGGCACACGAGGCACGGCGCCCCTTGTTTCCAGGGGCCTGACGCGTGCGTGCGTGCGTGCGTGCGTGTGTGCGTGTGTGTGTGTGTGTGTGTGTGTGTGTGTGTGTGTGTGTGTGTTTAATGGAAATTTATAAGCCACTCAAAAAATGCTCTGCACTCAGCCCTGCATGGGCGTCCCCGTACTAAAGTCCTAACCCCAGGATCTCAGGATGTGACCTTATGTGGACAGGATGTTCACAGGGTGTTGACAGGAAATCAAACAAAAAACAAGTCATTGGAAAAAGCTCCAGTTCAGCATAAGCAGGGTCCTTGCACAGAGGGTAAATGTGGGGGAGACAGCATGTGGCAGACATCCAGGGAGACTGTGTGAAGACAGATTTGATGGCATTGCCCCAAGACAAAGAACCAAGTTGCAGCCACCAAATGTTGGGGAGCCCAGGAGGGATTCTGACATACAGCCTTCAGTGGGCTCAGTCGGGTGTGCCCTCACCTCACACTGGCAGCTTCCACCACTCAGATACTGCCTGATGATGCTCAAGGCCTCTAAGCTTGTGCCTTGTGCTATGGCTCCCTAGAGGGGACTGGTTCTGCAGATGAGGACATAAGACCCAAAACAATGGTAGGGGGAGACAGGGCTGGGGGAAGAGGGATGACTGAGGTGGGGGAGTCCTGGCCTGCAACTCAAAGTGCAGATGGAAAATGAGGGCAAGAGAGCAGGTGTGACAAGAAGCATGAGGCAGCGTGAGAGACCTAGAGGCTGTGGAAGGATCCGGGCAAGCACCCCACGTGATGCTGGAGGCCATCCTCTGCATCTGATTGGCGGTGTGACCAGGGACATGGGCTGCATCAGAGATCTCCAGACAATCATATCTTCTCCCACCAGTCCAAGACGTCTTCTCATCCGCCTTTGCAGGTGCAGAAGGGCCTGGCTGCTCCCGCTTCCCCTCGGGATCCATCCCACGTACTTCCAGACAGGTTGGGGCAGTGATCCGGGGGCTGGACTGCATGGCCAGGACTGCAGGGAAGCTGAACAGTACCCAGCATGCCCAGCGACAATGGGCTTCTGACCTTTGATCAGTGCTGGGGTTCCTTGTGCCAAGGGTTTGTGTAGAAGACTCCAGGCAAAGCCAGGAGGCAGTTCCAGCCATGCTGAGCGGGGGCCATTAACAGAGGGATTTGTTTACTTGCTGGAAGCCCAGCCCCATTGGATGGATTAAAGCACAATTGGGGCTTTGTGTGTGTGTGTGTGTGTGTGTGTGTGTGTGTGTGTGTGTGTGTGTGAGTGTGAGTGTATACGCATGTGAGAACATGAGGATGTGTGTTTGTGAGTCTATATACGTGCCCATGTGCTGGAGGATGTGGAGAGGCTTAGAGAAACATGGCCTTCTTGTGCACCCTTGTCAGGAGACGTAACAACTTCTGCAAGCTGCACTGTGTGGCTATATCATACACACCACAGTCTCCCCTACACCTCTGGAACATCTCCATGCAGGGGCAGGCTTGTGGGTGAAGTACAGGCGTGGTCATCGAATCCCACGGGTGGGAGAGAGGCCCCATCTGTCAACATCAGCTGGGCTCACATCCCAAAGGGCAGTGCTACACTGGATGAAAAACTGAGACTCCAGCCAGGACCACAGGGAGCCACAGACAGTTTTAGGGAGCTGAGAGGGGGTGTTCTGATGGGCGCTGTGGGTGGATCATTCCGACAGGACAGAAGGAGCAGTAACCAATGGCCACAGATTAGCAAGTCAGGATCTGTCTTCTCCCTGGGACATCTTCAGTTTTTGTGGTGCCCAGTGGGATGTTGGGGGAAGGACAAAGTGATATCAGATGGTACATGGGAGGCCTGTCCCCTCCCCTAGTCCATCTTTCCTGTTACCTTGGGGTAACCAGAAGGGCTACAGATGACTTTGGGAATTTTCCAGGCACAGTGGCACATTTCTTTCTTTAATCCCTGCACTCTGGAGGCAGAGGTAGGCAGGTCTCTGTGAGTTTGAGGCCAGCCTGGCCTGCATAGCGAGTTCCAGGCCAGAGCTACATAGAGACACCCTGTCTCAAAAAAAAAAAAAAAAAAAAAAAATTAAAAATCTCCCACCACCTGTCCCCAGTTCCCCACCTGGAGAGGATGGACACTGTGGGTCAGCACCTGGCTCAGGAGCCACTGGGCTGGGTTTGAATCCCTGATCCTCTAACATGACTTGGCAAAGTTACTCAAAGGCTGGGCCTCAGTTTCCCTCTCTGTAACTGAGGGATAACCAAGCTCTTACCTCACAGAATTTTTTTAGCAACAGCCCCACATGCAGCACTTAGAAGAATTGGTTCACATAGTGCATACTCATAAATGCTCCTGTTGTAAGGAGCACACAGTAGAGACTGTAGACATCCACACTGCAGTCTAGCCAAAAAGTGAGCTTGCTGTGTGCTGTGAAAGTTGAGTGCTTGCCTTTCAACAGACATGAGGGCGAGACAGTCCAGAGGGAGTCAGGGTGAATGAAGAGACACCAGAAGCTCTGCCAGGGCACGGGAGAACCCCCATTTCTTTAATAGGTACCCAGCACCTCGTGTGAGTTGAGCTGGCCAGCTGTCCCCTGGAAGCTGCTTGGGCCCCATTCTTCCCAGAGGGGCCCCAGGTCAGCTGCGTTGATGGAGAACAGATGGTTCGGCCAGAGGCTTGCTGGGTCTGGCTATTGGAGGTCCCAGGAAGGCTCCTTGGTCACCAGTGTTCTCTTTCCTCCATCCACTTGGGCCCAGATGACACCTAGACAAGCATGCCAGGAGTAAGTAGTGCTTGGGCTAGGAATGAAGTCAGAATGAAGAGCAAGAGATGAAATAGTGAGGTGGGAGTGGCTATCTGCAGATGGACAGTGTCCTTTCATGAAGTCTGAACATTGTTTTCTTGTCCTGTTCATTGACTACAGGGCCCATTAACAATGGACATGGATGGTCTCTTGTCCCCGGACTGAGAATTTTGGATTGGGATATGTGTGACTCAGTGGTACAGTGCTTGCCTGGTATGCTTGAGCCTCTGGGTTCAAATCCTAACACTACTAAGACACCAAAAAAAAAAAAAAAAAAAAAAAAAAAAAGAAATTTAAAGACAGCCATAGCAGCGAGTGAAGTCAAACACAGGCTTCTGACCGTGGGGCCTTGTGTGATTTCAACAGTTGTGAAACCTGCCCAGTGTTCCAACTCCATCACATGCTCATGTGTGAGTTTTTCTGAGGAAAGGGCCTCACTTGGCGAGGCTATGGCCCAGACAGGTTAGGCAAGGACTCTGAGGCACAGAGAGGGCTCCATGAGGGGCCCTGGTTCTCAGTCCCACCTCCTCCCACCGTGTAGACTAGAGAACACGGTGCTTGACCATGCTTCACAGTCAGGTAGCTGTGAGGACAGAGAGAAGAAGAGGTGGGTGTCTTCTTCTCTCCAGGACCTGCTGCCATGGCTGGATGTGAAGGAGTCTGAGGCTGTACCAGGAGGTGGTGGCTGGAGCCGCTGAGTCAGCTGCCCGCTGTGGGGAGGGAGGGAGGCGAGAGGAGGAGACGAGGTCACTGGGCTTTGATTCGTTGGGTGGCAATGGCAATGGAGAATCCCACCCCAGACATGGAGAGCTTAAACACAGATGGCAGAGTGCAGAGGAATATCAGAGTGACGACATGTATTTGGGAGTCACTGGCTGGAAACAGCAGTAGCTCCATGGGAATGGATGCCAAGACTCTGCTCTTCTGAATAAAAATTTGTTTGTTTGTTTGTTTGTTGAGACAGGTTTTCTCTATGTAGCCCTGGCTATCCTGGAACTCACTCTGTAGACCAGGCTGGCCTCCAACTCAGAGATCCACCTGCCCCTGCCTCCCAAGGGCAGGAACTAAAGGCTTGTACCACCACTGCCTGGCATTCTGGGTAGATTCTTTAACCGCTCTTGTACCCCAAGTTCCCACATGTACGTGGAGGTGAGAATATCTTTACCACAGCTCTCACAATGAGAGGCTAGAAGGCACACACTTGGCACATTCCAGGACCATTAACCCAGGATGAAGACTGGTATCATGGGCTTCTGCCAGTGTATGTGGAGTGCCCCCACCATGTGTCAGGAAGGGCTTTGGATGCCTCCATTATCTATGTTTCTGGAAGTTGGTAAATGCTGCACCATGGAAATAGTGCAGGGCATTACACTGGAAGGAGCAATGTAATATCAAATATTGGGGGAACCCCCTGACAAAGTGACATTTGAGCAAGATGTGGGAGGGAAGAAAGGGTATCCAACAGCTCTGTGTGGGAGGAAGCTACTAGGCAGAGGGAAGAACCAGCACAAACCTCTGAGGTAAGGTCAGAGGGGAAGGGAGTGGGGAAGTCCTTAAGGCAGTGGAGACTGGTCCTCCACACACCAGACAGGCAGCTGGCCACCAGGGGACAGTGTAGGAGCTAGTGACATTGTGAGGGAATGTGTGTTGATATGAGCACAACCATGTAAAGGACTCCGATGCCACAGATCCATGGGAGTGTCCTCCCCCACCACCGGTGGGGTGAGGCTCAGAGGAATGGCAAAATCTTCCTTCCTCTGGTCTGAGTGTAAATGTTCACAGTGTGCAGAAAATGTCCACCACAGCTCTCTTTCCCCAGATGTCTATGGCCTGAAGACTACTCCCTTACAGAGACTGCACCTATGAGTTTATCTAAACCTGCCTCTTCGTCCAGCTGTATACCAAGGCAGCATGCTCCAGTGAGTCAGCTACTGAGGCTTTGGGCAGGCCTAGGGTCTTCTTGAAGCCTCCCATTCCCCACAAAGGCCTTACCTGGTAGAGCAGGCTCACCAGTGGAGGCTGTCCTCATTGTCACAGAATGTCTCCTCCTCACAACCAGACTCAGCTGGTCCTTTGCTCCAGGGCTCCCAGTTGAAACATAAATCTGAATCATCTTCCTTTGAATCTGTGGAGACCAGAGACAAGGCTTCTGGGGTAGACTCAGCCTATAGTGCTCCCCAGCTCCAGAGGAGTCACCTGCAAGTGTGAACCCACCCGGTCTCAAATAAACACGCAGAGGCTTAATATTACTTATAAATGCTTGGCCGATAGCTCGAGCTTGTTACTAACTAACTCTTACACTTAAATTAACCCATATTTCTGTTTATGCTTTGCCACGTAGCTCATGGCTTGTTACCTCATTTTTACACATCCTGCTTGCTCAGTAGCTGGCTGGCATCTCTCTCTCTCGACTCCCCTGACTCCACCCTTCCTCCTCCCATCATTCTGCGTCAAGCTGTCTCACTCAATCTCCTCTTGCCCTGCTATCAGCCAATTAGTTTATTATTATTATTATTATTATTATTATTATTATTATTATTATTATTATTAACAATGAGCATACTCCTCAGCATGCCAGGCCTGGGGGCCCTGGGGCCCTCTATGAGGCCAGAAGTGGAGGGCCCATTAACAATGGACTGAGACTTCATGGCCTTGGATGGAGAACAAGGAGGAATCTAGAAAGAGGATCCAGAAGGACCCAGGTGGTGTGAGATAGCCCGCTGCTGCAGTCTGAAGGGGGAAAGGCCTGCACAGGATCACATGACTCTTGGTCCCAGCTAGTGGTACTGCTTTGGAAGGCTTTGGAAACTGCAGGAGGTGGTGCCTCACTAGCGTGGGAAGCTGGGACCACCTGAAGTGTTACAGTCTGCTCCTTTTACCTCTTCTCTGCTTCCTGACCAAGAATGGGACGTGAGCAACATCCCAGGCTCCACCGCACGTTCCCCCATCACAGTCCCTTCTTAAACCAGGAGCCAAAATGTCAGCTTGTTTTTTCTGTCATAGTCATAAGAATGGTAGCTAATGTACCTGCTGTATTGGGAATTGTCCCACTGAAGGGACACCAAGTCACTGACCTGTCCACCATTCATCTTCTCGGCCAGTCATTACCAAATACCTGTGATTTCTACTGCTTGGTGTTGAACACACATGTGAATGAAAGAATTCCTAAAAGCACACACATCTATCATGAGAGGCCTGGGTGACTCAATTACCACAATCACTTCACGGGAGACCTGGTCTAGCCACTCAGTGGCACACCCGAAGCTGATGAATGATTGATGTTTACCTGTATCTTTCAGCTTGCATGATGCTAAAAACCCACGGCCTGGGGTTCCTGAGGCTGCAGGCCACCAACCACCTGGGGCCAGATCCCAGCACAAGGGCGGAACACACAGAGAAACTAAGAGCAGACAGAGATGCCAGGGTGCTGTCACTTCTGACTGGCCAACTTCGCTGAAGATCAAAGGGCTTATTTCAAAGGTGGAGGTAAGATGTCATCTCCAGAGAAGCCACCCAAAGTCACTGCTATACCCCCTTGACCCCCTTCCACAGTGACAAAACCCAGCATTGACTCAGCCAGCACTGACTGAGCCTACAAGCATCTACTATGTACCATGTACACAGGTCCTTGGCTCTCTGCACTAAGAGCTCGAGACCTCTTAGAACCTTTCTTTAGTCTGAAAGATGTGTGCGTGAGGGGTGGGGGGTGATTACCTTCACTTTGTGGTGGGGAACTGAGGCCCGGGCAGCTCTGGTCTAAAGCCACACAGCCAGTAGATGCAGTACCAGGATTTGAAGTCTACACTGATAACACCGCACAGGCTGTGACCCTGGGAAAGGCTTCTCCTTTCCAAGCCTCAGTTTCCCCACCTGGGCAATATGGACTCTTTCACAGAGTTCTCCTCAGGATTGGAGGGAAATGGTATGCATCACCCATTTGGTATAACTCCTAAGTGTTCAAAAGAGGTTAACTTTATTATAATCTATCAAGGAACAAGACTGATACTAGACTCCAGAGGGATAGGGTTTTGGTTTTGAGAGAGTCTCATGTATCCCAGACTTCAGACTTGCTTTGTAGCTGAGGATGACCTGATCCCCTTGTCTTAACCTCCTAAGTGCTGAGATTACACCATGCCCTACCATGCTGGAGATCAAACCATGGCTCCCTGCATCCTGGGCAGTCACTCTATCAGCTTACACCCCAGCCCGAGATAGCTTCCACAGCCAGCACACAACAAGTCTTTGACTCCCCTAGCTGCCAGGCCTAATGCCTGGGCTGGGCCCCAAGGGAGAGCTCTAGCTCACCCTGAAAGTGAGGTGAATTAAGCTTAAAACAAGAAACCCTGTCTCGAAAAACCAAAAAAAAAAAAACAAAAAAAAAACAAAACATGTTTTTCAGAAACCCGAACCTGCCCCCCGCCCCCGCGCGTCCCCCCCCCCCCCCCCCGCCCCCTACCCTCCCCCGGCCCCCGCGCGTCCCCCCCCCGCCCCCTACCCCCCCCCCCGCCCCCTACCCCCCGCCCCCTACCCCCCCCCCCCGCCTCCTACCCCCCCCCCCCCCGCCCCCTACCCTCCCCCTCTCGCCAGGAAATTGCAGTAGGACTATTAGCAGGCCCACCAAGAGGGATCGCGGGGCAGGTCATGCAGGGTGCTGCTCATGCTGCCTCAGTAACTTGTGACCAGAGCTGGCAGCAAGCTGGGCACACTGTTGCCCAGTCGGTCTAAGGTCACAGAGCCGAGAAACAGGGAAAGAAAAGCCTCTGAATTAAGAGGGGTCTTCAAGGAGACAACAGTGTGCCTCTTGCCATATCCCACCCTATCTGGCCCCTAGCCTATTTCATGGTCAGTTACATCTGGGCCTTGAGCTCAGTGGGTCTCAACCTTCCTAACACTGCGACCCTTTAATACCGTTCCTCATGTGCTGACCCCCAACCATAACATTATTTTCGTGGCTACTTCATCATTGTAATTTTGCTACTGTTACGAACTGGAATATAAATACCTGATATGCAGGATATCTGATATGTGACCCCTGTGAAAGAACCTTTTGACAACACCCCCCCCCCCGCGCCCCCCCCCCCCCCCCCCCCCCCGCGCAAGGGTCAAGACCCACAGGTTGAGAACTGCTGCTTTAGCTTCTTGTGATAGTGTGCTGAGGTCAGGACCAATGTCAATAAGCTTCCATGATCCTGTGTCCAAGAGAAGGCCAGTTCTTCTGTGAGCTTGGTCTGGCCAAAAACCAGTGTGTGAGCACCCCAAAACAGCGAAGGCGCTATGTCCCTGTTCAAGCTGTTTGCAAAAGCACATGAGAGGGTCTGAGTGAAGCTGAGAGCCAGCCCAAGCTCTGCTCGGTGCCTTTGCACAGAAAGGGGCGCCATTTTCTAATTCAGCAGTCAAGCCTATGCACTAGCAGTGGCCCTGAGGGGCCGCAGACGAGCATCTGCTTCAGTCAAACTTGGGGACTCTGTTAAGAAACTCCCAACTGCCGGCATGATGGTGCATACGTTTAATCCCCGTACTCAGGAGGCAGAAGCAGGTGGACCTGAGTTTAAGACCAGCCTGGTCTACATAGTGAGTTCCAGAATAGCCAGGGCTATCTAATAAGACCCTACCTCAAAACAAACAAACAAACAAACAACCCCAAAAACAAAACTGAAAAAAAAATGATAGGAAGGAAGGAAGGAAGGAAGGAAGGAAGGAAGGAAGGAAGGAAGGAAGAAAAACTCTTTTCAACTGGAGCTGCATTTAAAATGCTGTGTAACTCCTTCTGTAGTTGTTCAGGGCACTTTATCCTGTTTAGGCCCCTGCCCAGCTCCAAAATTAAGAGTCCAGCCTGGACCAGCTCACCTTGACTAAGTAAGAAGTGTAACCAGACGATCATCAAGAGGAGCAGCACACTCACGGGCAGGCAGAGCCAGAACACCAGGAAAGAGAGCGTGAGGTCGTTCACCAGCGGGGCCAGAGGGTACCTCATTGTGCACCTGCAGCCATGCGAGGCCACCTGGATTGAGCGGGCAGGCTGCCCCTGAGGACCTGGCAGCTTGGCCAGGCTCTGCTTTCGGCCCAATTGTGACTTAACAGTGAGTGTGATGTAACAAGGAAGTCACAGAAAGAGCCTGCAGCAGAAGGCTGAAGGAGACACACTGGTTTCTGAGAAGGGTGGCCAGGGCTGTGGGCCCAGCAGTCACTGGGCTCATGTGACCCTCTGCTCTTATGGAAGGGAACTGAGGAATTCTAAAGTCAAGAGAAACAGTCAGGACAAACGTCAGCCAATGTAAGGTACTTGCCTACCCATGGTTGATGTGGCCAGGAACCAGCCAGGTCCTTGGGTCCTGCCTTCCAGTAGCACATACACACACACACACACACACTGCCACGTTGTGGGGCAGGGGACGGACCGCAGGGAATGGAAAGAGCTCAGTGCTGGAAGGTAAGAGGCTGGGTAGTTCCAGCAACAGTTGCTGTACAGGAAAGGCAGGTCCAGCATTGCCACATTGCCCACCCCCACAACAGCCCAAAGTCTGGTTTTTATGTGGCATCTCCCAAGTTTAAAATAGGAGATGGGGCTGGGGTAACACACCTGTCCCTCAAGTATGAGGCCCAGAGTTGGGATCTCCAGACTCCACATAAAGTTAGGTGGGCTTGTCAGCCTGCCTGTAATCCCAGCAGAGGCAGGGGACCCTAGAGCCAAGCTGGCTAGCCAGGATAGCTGAAATGGCAAGCTCCATTCAGCGAGAGACCCTGTCTCAAAATTGATGAGGAAAACACCTTGGGTGCACCTGCCCCCCATACACCAACAGATGGGATCAAACTTTGTTAGAACATTGTAGGCTAAATCTGTCAGGTCACTCACTGAGTGGCTGCTTAGAACTTTTAACAATAATTTTGAAGCTTCTCCCACTTACCTTTTTGGGAGTTTTAGCAAGGGACTTCTAAAAGCTTGCCCCCTTATCTCAGTGGGCAAGACAACTTGTTTTCTCTCACCCGGCCTGTATTTACTAATACTTGTGGAAGGAAGTAGACATTGGGGGTCGGGGGAAGTTTGTAATAGACTGGCTGGTGCACAATCTTCACAAGATGAATGGGGCCGGGAGGTACATTAAACATGCCAGTTCCTAAGCTCACCCTCATTCACCGAGGCTGTGCCCCTGAGGCTGCCAGGTCTGAGGGAAGGCAGCCTTGACTTGGGAGAACACAGCATTTTCACAGCTGAAGAGCACAGGCTGAAGTCAGGATCATTCTAGACTGGAAAGCTGATGCATCAAAACTGGGTTAGAGGGCGAGTCATGGAGGAAGACACTAGTCTATGGAGAAGGGGAACCAGGCCAGGCTGAGTGGACCCACAGAAGGGGTCTGGACAAACACTATTAAACATGCACCAAAGAGCAGGATGCAGGCGTGGACAATGCAGGCCCAGAGGCCAGAAAAGGGGCAGTCGGGACTGGGATTTCTAGGTGCTGGGTCAGTAAGGAGTTGTGTCAGAGAGCTGAGCTACACAGGTGGGAAAACTTGAACGCTTATATATTTGGCTAGCTATGAAACTTTCAGACACCAAAATGGGGCCACTGAAGTCAGCTTCTGCCAACGGGCCAAGCTGGAGTCCTGTGACTGGCAGGTAGAGCTGGGTAAGAAGTGGGGAAGGTGGCTCTGGGTTCCAGGCAGTTCAGATCCAGCAAGAGAACAGTTTTGTGGGGTTGGTGCCTCGTTGGAGGGGTGGCTCTGGGTGGACGCAGGCGTCCTAACAGCTCTCACTTCTGTTTCCAAGATTCACCAGCCTATCACCTGTGACCCAGACTCATGGCCCCAACATGCTTCCTGTAAGATCCTCTGCAGCCAACCTCTGCAAAGGGGCAGTGAGGGCATGGGTGACCTCTGTGCCTTCCCCCTCTGGAAATGTCCCTACTTACCCCAGGATTCACTCACTCCCAACTTCCAGCCTTTGTATCTTTTTTTTTTTTTTTTCCGTTTTTCGAGACAGGGTTTCTCTGTGTAGCTTTGCGCCTTTCCTGGGACTCGCTTGGTAGCCCAGGCTGGCCTCGAACTCACAGAGATCCGCCTGGCTCTGCCTCCCGAGTGCTGGGATTAAAGGCGTGCGCCACCACCGCCCGGCCCAGCCTTTGTATCTTAATGCTACACAGATCCTGCCAGCATTAGAAGGGCATGTCCTTTTCTCTTAAAATTTGCCTAATTTTGAATATTTCAGGAAAACTAAAAAGCCAGAGTGGAAACCTAGGTTAGTTAAAACTGAGCAGACCCTCCTTGAGAGTCACTTAAGAGTGACCATGCAGGAGCCAGCCCCGTGGCCTGTAACCAAAAGGACACACCAAGTTATTAGATAAGAAGCTCCTTAAAATTTAATTGACTGCATGTATTACATTCAATATCCCGTGGGTTTCTTGTGGACGGAGGACAGGCATAAATACGAACAGCTCTGAACCTTCTTCCCAGGCTGACGCAGATTCAACACAGGCAGCGAGGGACACAGGCACACTTTCATATTTACATCTCCTTTACTTTACAGATCAGTGGCAGAAATATTTACAGAAAATACAATAGGAAAAAGATCCCATCTTGGCAATATACCGAAATTCATACAAATTGTAAATATGGTTTCGAGCAAATAATGATACTTAATTTTTAGCCACAGCTGCCAAGCCCTTCAGAGGAAGATGCCTTGGTCACTGTGGGGACAAAGAACTTGATTTGCTTCAACAAATAGGTATTGGGCGCCTACTGTATGCAAGGCACTGTGGAATCCCAAATTACACATTTTCCCTCATCACTAACAAACCTGTCTGAAGAACAAGGGTGGCCATTCTGAGAAAACCCTACACAGTGCATGGCTCTGCCAGCAGCGTGACCAGTGACCCCACTGTCCAGGTGGACTCCTCAGGGAGTGCTGGGGACAGACCAGTGGACGCCAATGGTCACTGTTAACACAGAAGGTCTGGCCTGAACAGGCTTTAAATAATAAGGGACAACTGTTGCCAGGAAGAGTGTCAAATGACCTCCAAGACAGTTGTCACCATCTACCGAGCTGTGCCCAAGGCTGATGCTGTGTGTGTGTGTGTGTGTGTGTAGGGGGGTGCTCTACTTTTCAATAGGAATACACCCTGGAAAACTCATCACTGTAGAGGTCAGTCTGCAGAACCTGATTCTTCCCTAGCTCCGACAGGAAGCTGTTCTTCCAGGCTGTCCTACTACTTATGAGCCAGACACCAACAGGGCCAGCCAAAGTGTAGGTATTTTTATAGGTGAGCCCAGAGATGGAGTCACCCTAAAATCGGGGAGCTGGAAGAGGGAGATGCTCATATACACATGTGCATGGCACATGCATCTGTATAGCTGGGGAAGGGGCTCCCTACTACTGTAATTATTCTTTTTTAAGGGGCCAGAGCCCAGGTCTTAAGAGGAAACTCTAGACAAACGAGAAAGGTGGCTGCCAGGTTCAAAGAGGCTGAGAGTCCTGTGTCTTGTGCTCCCAGTCAAAGGAGCAACCCCCTTCCCATCCCAGCTTCAGAAGTCAACAGGAGGGGCCACCAGCCTAAACAACCTTAAGAAATGTTTTCCTGTTTGAGATTGCCTGGCCATCCAAGTACAGCAACTGAACAGTTTAAGCCACAGTCCAGACTGGTTCCAGTGTTTCCCCAAGTGTCTGAACCTAGGCGGCAAATGTACCAAGTGAACGACTAAGACTATTGTAGGTACGAAATACGTTCCTCTGACAAGATTCTGTTCCAAGTGATCTATGCGCAGGCAGGAGGGTGAACTCCGCAGGATTCCAAACCACACTCTGAGGCCCAGGGCTCTTACCACACTCCTTTGGTGGGCAGATGGTGCGTGGAACAGAGGGGACCAGTGAGGGGGTGCATCCCAAGTTCTGATGGCTGTGCACACTAGGACTTCTCTGTCTTAGGGGTGTATAGCCCTCCTTCCTTGGGGAACTACCATGTACCCCAGATTTCAAACTGCATCTGCCATGGTTTTTCTCTTACCAAAGTCATCAGAATTACAAAGAGTTAGAAACTAGAGCCAACCGAAGGGGAAAGGCCAGTAAGCTCCCCGCAACACACATATCGCATACATTATCATTTAAAGAATCTCCAAAGTAAAAGTTTTTCAGAAGAATCACAAGAAGGAAGTACATCTTTATATCAGTTATTTGTAGCCTCTGGAATGTTCTAAATTGCATGTGTATGTATAGATTCTTTGTTCACCTCGGATAGAACAAGAACCCATTTTCCCCAAGAAGTGTCAATCTGGAAGCATCTTAAAAGTTGTTCAATTTCACCTCTTCTGAGTTACTAAAATATTTTTAGGGCGAAACTCACTAAATTTTTACCATTCCTCACCCCATGTTATCACCTAGAAACCTTAGATTATTGCCTAACTTAAAAACAAACCAAAGGCCGGGCGGTGGTGGCGCACGCCTTTAATCCCAGCACTCGTGAGGCAGAGGCAGGCGGATCTCTGTGAGTTCGAGGCCAGCCTGGTCTCCAAAGCGAGTACCAGGAAAGGCGCAAAGCTACACAGAGAAACCCTGTCTCGAAAAACCAAAAAAAAAAAAAAAAACCAAGCCAAAGACAGAGCACTGTGTGCCTTGAGTGGAAACTGGGCTCACAGCAGGGTTTAGAGGATGACATGAGGGACAAGCATGACAAGGGGGTGTCTGTACCTGAGCTTAGAAAAAAGGGTGGCGAACCAGACCACGGGCTGCTCCACCCACGGTTCTTGCTCCGAGATGGCAGAGCACACACTTCTAGCATGGAGTACCTGCACAGGGCAGGTCCAACACTGCCCCTAATAGCCTAGGAAAAGAACAGAACCTCAACCCAAACCGTGGAACCCTGACCCACAGACTGTAATGACAACTGTAATGAGCACCCCTATTCAACTAGGCTGTCACTTGTTTTCTAAGACAAATAATCTTACTGAAGGAGAAAGAACATAAAAATAGGTATATACTGAGTACTGTAACAGGAGTCCTCCTAAAACAGTTTGGTTCTGGCCACCTCCTATGCTTTGTCCTTGGCAGAAGAGACGTATTCAGGTGACAGAAATATTCCAGAGTCCTGGCAGGAACTTGTACCTTCAGCTGGCTAAGGCCAGGAAAGGTAACAGCAGCCGCCACCTAAGGAAATGACACTGGTTCTGTGGACTGTGAACCAGGTGCTCTCTAAAAGAGCTGAGTGGCGGTGGGACACTTGTTCCTGAACCATGAACAGAACCCTCCCTCAACTACTGCAGCTTGCTGCTTGGTCC